AAGAGCCAAATCTTTCAGCTTCATCTCTCACATGGTTGTTTAGTCTGTGTCCTGCAGGTGATGAGGAGTCTTCAGGAGGCTTTAAGCTAAACCAGCCTGAACACTTTGATGCAAAAAGAAATACATCTGGAAAAAGAAGATGCGTTTCAAGGCTTTAGAAATGCAGTGTTGGCACTAAGGCATTGCCAGTGGTTTGGAGGATGCATGACTATGGACCATCAGGGAAATAACTGTCCTCACTCAAGTTGCAGGAGTTTTGCGGGGTGTGGAGCATGAGAGAAGAGAGCTTGGGCAACTGGGGATTTGGTGATTCTGCTAACACGGTAGGAAACTAACCCAGGTAGGTTGCAGCTATGGAAGTGATAAGTTACACACAGCCCACGTGGCTTTTGGCATGTCAGATGGAGCCATCTGGTGTGGATCCTACAGTCCTAGAGTTCAGGTAGATTTGTCCTAGTGAGCTGGCCTCTGTTGGTCTTAGATTTGCATGAGGTTTCCTTCTACAGTCTCATGCAAACACAGGCCTGCCCTCGCACCCACCATCAGAATGCAACATCTGCCTTACAAGAACATTTCCACGTTTGACAAAAACCTAGTGTTACTTCAGAAGATGCCACGGAAAGCAGTGCACAATTAGAAGGCAGCAATGACACTGATGAGTTAAACTCTAGATGACGCCAACTCCAGGAACATTTCCAAATAGGGAGAAATGCTCAAGCTTCTTTTCTCATATACATCCCAAAGAGCTCACAAAGGAATTCCAGGGCTCTCAGTAACCTCAAAGAAATCCTCCCACCCACCTTTAAAGAAGAAAGGAAAGAAAACCTTCTCACAGCACATCAAAGCTTAGCATATGCTCTGTTACTCAATCTAAGCCATCAGCAGGCTTCCAACACACAAAGATGGACTCAACAGACCTTTACCTGTTGAGTTATGAACAAGAAATCCTGCACAGTCAATAAAAAGATTGCCTTACTATCTCCTTCCCTTCTGATATTTTCCTTATGGTCCTGGCTTCCCCTTAGAGTCAAGACATTCTTGCTAAACCTTCACATCAATCAATCTACCTTGAATTCAACAAATCCATTCCTATCCATTACACACTGGAATTTCCAGGAAAAGAATGAAGCTCCCTCTTTCCCTCTCACAAATTTTTTTAAAAATCCAAACCTGCATAGTTGGAATATAGCCAAAGGGTTCTTCATGATCAATTTGACTTTCCACCTGAGCTGCCTATGAATTAGTCCCTGGCTGGAGCATCCAGTAAATAATCAACTTCCATGAGACAATGCAGTAAATTGGCTGTAAGAGCCCAGCCTTAAGATAAATGTTCCAATCAGGATGGTCAGGAATCCCTGCCATTTAAAGAAATGAGTTCCAGCCATCCCTGTGCAGAGGGGAGTCTGCATGTGTATTACTTTGCCAGCTATTAAACTACCTCCTGCTTGAAGACAGTATATACATGAGGGCCATCCAAGTGGTCTGTGCAGGAAAAGGCACAAACTGTGAGGGGTCCATAAGCCCCTTAGCTCAGTAAGACCTTATGTGTTTCAAATGAGTCATGCACCATGCAATTTTATTTTGCTCTATGACAAACTGCATATATGACGGTTGTCTCATAAGATTTTATCACCTAGTGACATTACAGCTGTCTTGGCTGGTGTAAGTACCCTCTATGAAGTCAGCACAACAACAGATGCACCAAAAGATGACACATTTCTCAGAAGGTGCCCCACCAATTCACAATGCATGACTGTATAGCTGATACTCACTATTCAAGTTAGTTCTGCTCTATAAAATCACCCTGAACACAGAATTAGCAAATACGAACTCACTGCTTCAAGGGTAAACACAAAGATCGGTTTCTGTGAGCCTTAGATGCCAACTCTTTTGTCAATCAATACATAACATTGTTCTTTGTGTGTTTCTGTTGGAAGTCACCACAGTTGATATATATTGTTGATTCATTAACACTGAACTCACAGCCAACCGTACTGTAACTCATGCCCGATCAAAGCTTCTCTAGGACATGTATTTTCTCCATAACGTGTGCTGCAGCCTCCTCTGGCTTAGGAGTCCCAGACAGCACTTCACACTACACCTGTGGGCCATCTAAAACAGTGAAATCACCAACAAAAAGCATTAGAATATGAAAAAACATATTAATCAGATTACATACAGGCAGCTTGTTGACGGTAGGAGAGCTGACACCAAAAGGCAGAGAAACACTGTGCCCTACGTCCCCTACCTGGGAACATGCCCATCTAGCAACTCAAATTTCACCCCACACTGGGTATGTCCCTAAATGAATATTACAACTTTGAGAGTACTGATTTGGGGCTTGCAAATACAAATTAGGAAGTAGATGAATTTGCAAATACTGTATACAATCCATGAATAATGGTGACGGACTACAGGTTGTACTGTAACTGCTTCCTACCAGCCAGAGAATCTAGACTAGTCTTTCAAATAGATCAGGCAGCATGTCTTCAGGGTTACTCAAGCTAATTCTATTTTCTGAGATGTTAGTACATATTTTAAAAGCTAAAGTCAAAATGAAATTCCCAACAGAGTTATGAAAACTGCAGTACATTTGTAGTGGATTGACAACTGGTGGTCAACTTATAGCCCCCAGCTGAACTGAGTAAGTGTGGTGCTGGGTGTGGGAGGCCCACCTGGGAATTATTGCCAGCAGCATAAGAGGCAGAACTGGAGGAGAAGAAGAAGGGCTGTTGGGAGTGGAGAAAGGCTGTTGGAGCTGGTGGAAGGTATAAGGGGCTGTTGGTTCTGTTGGAGGAGCTTGTCACTCTGGCTTTCCTGATGAACTCAGCTGTTTCCATCCTTCAAGGAGCTCGGGACCTTGTTGGCACTGAGAATAGCTTCAGTTCACTTTAGGGGGGCTCTGGTCCTCACTTTGAGCATCATTTCCTGGCTCCAGAGGGGGAAATGGTGCACCGCCTGTCTCCTGGAGAAGCTTGCTGCGTTGGCTTCCCTGATGGGAACTCAGCCATCTTGATCATCAGAGGAGCTCAGGACCTCACTGTTGCTGAGGATGGCTGTGGTGTCTTTCAAGGGAGCTCTGGTTCTTACTTTGAGCTTCGCTTCCTGGCTCCAGTGTAGATCCCTCAGCCTGCTAGCACAGATCCTTTCTCCCACTGACACAGACTTCCTAGATTCCACCACTGACCTCTGGGCCATCACAGCACAGATCCATGAAACAGGCCTGCATGAGATCTTGTTATGGGCTCTGGGCTTTCTGTTGGATTTATGGGAGGCATTGTTATGAGCTCTAGGTCTTAAGTTGGACTCATGTAGGACATTATTGCTGATCCAGGCCCTTAGCTGGATTCTTGGTCTATAGTGTGCAGACCGATTTCCTGCACTCTTTTGTATATCGTTCTTTGGGTGACTATTATAAATAATCTTATAAAATATGTGTCCTGTATTATATTGTTCTCCTTGCAAAAATATCCCCCAAACCAACACAACATTTAAGTGCTTCTATTAACAATGCAAGGCTTTTAATTCACTATATGAATACAACACAACACGCTGGACATCAATCATAAGACAACTGAAGAATTTTTAAAATATTACCCAGGGATCATGATAGGTACTGTGGTCTGATGGACCCTAACCCTAGCTCCATCTGGCTATTTCTCTGTAACTGAACATGAGGCCATTCCAGGGTCTACACTTGACGCCCTGTAAGAACAGGTGGCTCCAGTCACGTGACCTTCTTTTTCTTCCCATGCAGACTCTCAGTCAGGATAGACTCCTTCTCTAGTTCACAATGCTATTAAAAGAATCCACTGTATTATCCACTGCAAGAATGGAAACAGAGACCCTCAGAGCAAAAGGGCCCAGGACACAGTAACAAGCAGATCGAACAAAAGCCCGAGTTCAGACGGTCCGCTTTCATGCTCCGTGAGGTGCCACAAGTCACTTTCTATCTCTACGTCTCCATTTACTCAATTGCAATTTAGATCAAGGATTGGTAAATATTTTCTAGAAAGGTCTAGATAATGTTTTAGACTTTATGGATCAAGTAGCAGAGTCAAAGATATTTGTGAGTACTTACAAAATAAATAAACCAAATTTCTTAAAATAATTTAAAAACACAAAAACTATTCTTAGTTCATGGGTGGCACAAAGAGAGGTTGGCTGGAGGGGTATATCCTGCCAACCCTTCCTTTAGAGCAGGTCAGTGGTGTCCGATGGAACTTTCTGTGATGATCGGAATGTTTACATCTGCACCATGTGGATAGAGCAGCTAAGGAACTGAACTTTCAGCTTCATTTCCCATCAAATAATTTGAATTGAAATTGGCATGTGTGGCAAGTACAGAAGCACAGCTTTAAACCTTCTGTCTGCTTCCTGAGGACCTTGTACTTTATGGTTCTACAGCTCACAAAATTCCAAACCATGCAGGGAGGCACCCCAAAGAGGGTCAGCAAACTCAGAGAGACAGCTTGGAAGGGTGCTCTGGGATATTTTTAATTTCAAGCAAACACATGATACTCAGCATCAACCAGCAGTGCACAAACTACGAGCTCAAAACGGCTACAACCAGCTCAGCATCCAACCAGCAGTTCATGTTGTACCACCAGCTCACAGCTGTGTCGCTAGACAGTGTTACATTCCTTTCAATGATGTCATATCTTCACAAAGACAAGGTTTCAAACACTTGCAGTGATAAAAACCAAGAACTGCCCCAAAAGAATCAATGTAGAGCAGCAGGTCAGGCTAGTGGTGCCTGATCTGGTTCTAAGGTTTTCTTAGAGCATGATTTTACCCCTTTCTTTTTTACTACTTCAAAAACTGTGCCTCTCAATTACTCTAACCTGCAGCATCTGACAATTTGCTTTATGAAACTTCCTATGTCCCTGAGCTCTAATAAGAATTAATTGAACAGACCCTGGCAAAATCTAGGTGAGATAAGAATATGAAAATTCTCTGTTGAAGTATTGTCAAATGTAAACCAAGCTCCCCTAACTCACCATGAGGCGTGTCTTTATTTTTCAGACCTTCAGAAGAGGTTTGTGGGAGTTTTGTTTGGTTGGTTGGCACACTGGTTGGTTTTGTTAAGGTTTTGGTTCTTGCCGTGGCGTTTTCTTGGGAGTTTGTTATTTGTTGTCCCTTCAGTGGTTAAATCCATCATCACCCTTCATTCCTGCTTTTGGTGGAAATAGGAAGAAGGCTCATTCTGGAGTTTGAGCAGCAGTTCTCCGCTAGGGAATAAGACTTCATTATAGGTATGATCATCCCTCCAGCCTGCTGGTCCCCTCTTCTCCCTTTGCCTGCAGTCACAGCAAGTTTCAGGAGCAATCTGTGATCTTTATAATGATGCACTTTTCGATTCCCAGTGTCCTCTGGTGTCTGGCTACTGTCTGTATACAAAACAATGAACCTGAACCATTAACATTTTTTTTCCATTTTGATCATGGGTAAAAGCTGGGAAATGCAGTAATTGCCTAGAAGGAAGAAAGATATAGTTGTTGCCTTGTTTTTCTTCTGTATCATTCAGAACCTAAAGTCTAACCCTCATCCACCCCTCCACCAATTATTTAAGCACTCAGGGCTTCATCCCAGGTTCAAGGTGAAATCTTTCCACTCCCACCTCAAGGAGAGAAGATCACAGGCAAATACATGTCGACTCTGGGTCAAGTTTCCTGAGGTTCTGGCTTTTGACCCCTAATTTTCCTTGGCTGAAATTCAGTCCTCTTTATTTAGTCTCTTCTGTATCATCCCAGGGATAAAATCTCTTTTCTTCATTAAAAACAAAAGATCATAATATCTATTTTTAGTAAAAGTAACAAACTCTAGTCTTGTTAAGCCCCCTCACTGATGCAGTGATGCTGCTAGGGAGTACTAGGACAAGATAAAAGCCCGACAGATTCCCCTTAGACAAAAAAAGAAAAGAAAAAAAATGCTTGTATGGACAAAATGAGGGCTAGGGACATAGCTCAGTGATGGAGAACATATTTAGCATATGCAAGGCCCTGGAATTTGATCTCCAGCACCACTTGCACCATAAAACTTAAAATGAAAATTAATAAGTAAAAGGATGACTAGGGATCCTATTGGCCTCTCTGAGGGTTTCTCGGGTTGTTTTTGCTATGTGACTGTGGAGGAAGACTATAACCTGCTTGCATTTTATGTCTGGTTCATTTCAGAACATCTGCTATGGACCCAGGTGTATGTTGGGTGCTAGACATATGATGAATAAGGCCCAGTCCTTGTCTTCAAGAAACTCCAAGAAAAAATAAGGAACAAATGTATTAAAAAAAAATAATTCTAACTCAAGTGCTGTGACACATGTCTGTAATCCCAGCTATTTAGGAGGTGAAGGCAGGAGGGTTGCAAGTTGAAGACCAGCCTGGGCTGGGGATGTAGTTCAGTGGTAGAGCATTTTCCTAGCATGCATGAGTCCTTGGGTTCAATACTCAGCACAAAAAAAAAAAAAAAGTAAGTGTCCTCCAAAAATAAAGTGAAGGAATCAGGAAACTCAGAAGAGAAGACCCTGCCTGGGTGGTTGGCCCTAGTTGCCCAGAAACTCTAGGATGCTGCAGAAAGAACCTCAAGCAGGAGGAGAGCATGAACATGTGTGAGATGAATTCATGAATAAGCAAAGATAGTGCTTCTCAACCTCTTATCTCCTACTTCCTGAAGGCCTCCTCCCTCCACACGATCTGTACTCTGAGCCACAGCAATCTTTCTAGAATGCTGTTCTCTTAAAACCTTTTGTAGCTGCCCTACTCTTTGACAAGCAGTCTGGTCACCCCTTACGCCTCTAGCCTCAACTTAACCATCCCACCGCTCTTTGGCAGCCACAACTCTGTCCTCTTGCCCAGCCCAGCCAATTCTACTTGACTTTCCAAGACTTAGCCTGAAGCTCCCTCCAATGAGAAGTCCATCCCAGCTCCCAACCCCAGTTAAAAATCTCTTCTGGGTGGCCCAGAAGAATCCTGTAGCATGCGGCAGACTATACCACATAACCAACTTACTTGTCTCAGCTCCCTAACTACTGCCAGTTACTTAAAATATAGAAACTCGATAAATCATGTGGGATGAAGACTAGGATCATGGGAAAATCTTAAATGTAAGACATGAACTAAGGAAGAATTAATAAAAGAGCCAGAAAAGAGTAATAAAAAAGAAACCCAGAGACAAAGAGTCATATCATTTAAGCAAAGGAGAAGGGAGCCGTCAGTAGAAGGCTCTTAAGAGAAACAATCTAGAGAAATCAGGTAGGCAATGATTCAAATTGGGTTGCTTTGTCTTGTCTTGTCTTTTCTTAACCAAGAAGTTGGCAGTCTGATGAAGACCATGGACCTCTTCTCAAAAGAATATTGTTAAATATATAAAGAACAGTACCTACCGGGGTAACTAAAACTACTTACCTTAAAATATAGTTATGGAAATATTAAAACATTGCAAAGTTATATATAGGTTTCTTTGTAAATACAGTAACAAAATCTAGCAGTAGATCCACCAACCAACGCAATCTCTCAGTAGTGATGAAAGGAAAGGATTTTTCAAGATATGTGTAACAGCTGTCAGGTTACCACCGCCGTGGTTTGCTGCCTATATTCATAATTGAAGGAAAGCTAAATTACAGTTAGAAGTAAGGGAAAGTAACTTCTCCCCACCAAGATTAGAGCCCCCCACATCAGGAACATCTAGCCAAATCATCAGATTGGTAATTAGGTCCTTGCTGACTTTGGCCAGAGCACTCTGAGGTAAGCAACCATCCCACTCCCACAAAATGGAGGGATGTGTGAAGGGGAGCAGAGAAAACAGATGATTATAAGCTTCTCTTTTCAGATGCTTTTGTGGCCAAATAAATGAAAAGGCTTGCACTCAGTTGAAGGAGAGGAAATGTCAAGGGAGTACAGAAATAGAACATGCCATCTCCTCATAACCTCACAAGTGACGTCAGGGAAGAACATGACTGAACCCCTGTTGGAAGTGGTTCCTTCAGTGTACACAATGGGCAATAGATCAGACAGGGAGTTACCAGCGCTGTTCTTAGTAAGGCAGGGAGAATACACAGCCTTGGAGCCAGACTTGCAGGAGTGAGGAGACAATCAATGCCACAGGACTTTCTGTGAAAATAACTGACCATAGTTGCGTGCAATACAGCTGACACATAATGGATTGACTTCAGAGCTAGTTTGAGATTTCCACTCTCCATGCACACTGACTGGAGAAAGAGACCCCAGTGAAAGGTCTTGGGAAGAGGAAGACTCCCAGAAACCTGCTACAGATGCACTCTTTCTTATACAAATGAGAGATGAATTCAAGGTAAGAAAAGTTAGTGTAACTTTTATTTTTCTGGATCAAGATTGAGTAGCTGTAAACTAATACAGCATTATGGAAATTTCTCAAAAACTAAAGTAGAAATTGCATTTGACCCAGCTATTTCCCTGCTAGGTATCTTCCCCAAAAAGTTAAAGGCGTTATATTACAGAGACACATGCATACCCATTTTTATAGCAGCAGAATTCATAATAGCTAATTCTCGGAAACAGCCTGTATGTTCAACAACGAATGAAGAGTGTGTGATATCTATACACAATGGACTACTACTCAGCTATTAAGAAGGATAAATTTGAGACATCTGTAGGAAAATGGATACACCTTGAAAATATAATGTAAAGTGAAATAAATCATCTACACAGGCTTAATACTGCATGGTTGCTCTCATTTAAATAATCCAAAGTATTTTAACCCTGGGGTTAGATCCTCTGATGATTCCAGAGGGATCCCTCCAGGGACAGCTTTGGGTATTTTTGGAAAGAGCTGGTTTTCTGCAATTCCCTTGGAACCCACAGGTTGAGATAAACAGAGCCATAAACGATGAGACATAAAGTTCAGAGTTAGTGTTACCCAAGACTTAGCCTCCATCTGCTGGGTGACCTTGGGTGAATCTGTCAGAGCAAGGGCTGGTTACAGTCTGGCTGCCAGCTGGTGGAGCGCACAGAGGTGCCATGAGGCTGACGAAAGTCACTTCTGGAACGGGCTTTGAACTTTCTACACAGAATCATGAGATAAACCATGTTCAGTGACCAACATTCAGTTATGGTGTAACAGATCTGTTAGGCCCAAAGACCTCAGATGACAGCCAGTGTCAGAGTCCAAAGAACTTCGTGAACACTGCAGCTTCCTCATACCTGCAGACTATCTTAGCCACTGTGTCACACGAGCTCCAGTTCTTATGTCAGAAGACACTGGATTCGATTTATTTTGGACAGAGTTTTGCTGGATGAAGTCAACAAATTGGTGATTGTTTGTGAGGAGGAAAGGAGGCTCCAGGGCAGGTCTCTGTGACCACTTAATTACCCTCAGTTGCACTCAAACCTAAGCCGCGTTTGAATGCTTTCCTTGTGTTTGCGCTCTCCTCAACTCTCAGGAGGCTCCTGCTATCACCAGAAGCCAGAACCTTGGCTAGAAAAGGCTGGTTATTAAGAAACCCAAACCTTTTCTATTTTTGTTCTGGCTATATTCTGTGTTTAACAACTGTTTGGTCTGACCCGCCATATTCTTGAGTTTTCTATCTGTCTCTGCATATTTCATTTACTTATTTGTTTATTCATTTATTTTTAAGGGTTGGATGCCTTAGCTATCAGTAACTACTCAGTCTTTTTATTAGTACGTGACATTTGCATTCATCTTAGGGAGTAGGTGCCTGGACTGAACATAACTTGATTTTTTTTATGCCCCTTCCCCTCCCAAGCTCTCTCCCTGCTTCTGTCTCTAGATCCCTTCTCCCAATTTTTATGATTACTAGTAGTATTTTCTTAGCCCATGTTTACCCCAAATAAACATTAATTCACTGAGGGTAGGTGGTATACGTACGCGATTTGCAAAAGCATCTGCCAAAGATCTATCTCTCTGTTTCCTTTTATTTTGCTCTTTATTTACACAGCTCAGTTCAGGTTTCTAATGGCCAGTTCTCTAGCTGCCTCAAATAGACCTACTATGGATTCCTGGAGATGATGTGGACTGAATATGGTGTAGTTACTGCTTAGGGAAGAGGAGACCCCATCAGCCCTTCACTTTCCGGGAACCCTGGATCTCA